AAAAACACAGCTTTTTATAAATAAATTTCAGGGTTTGGGGCCCCCTCCTCGTATATTAGGTGGTTATTAATATTTATAGAATGAGAATACTAATGCAAAATATTTATTTATTCCTTCGGTGCCATGTAAACCAAGTTGGGAGCTGAGGTGGGGAGGTTTGAGGAGAGAGGAGGAAAGGTGTGAGATGAGCAAGAGCGGACGTCCTTGAGAAGAGCAGTGGACTTGCTGGCCAGTGACTGTCAGCTTGAGATTTGAGATGATAAATTCCCACAGAATCAGCTGTGTGACTTGCCAGTTTGCAGAGTTGCTCAAGAGCTGTCAAGGAAGAGGCAGAAGTGACGGGCCCTGTATCACGAGGACAGGTGGAATGGCAAACATGGTCTGAGCTGCCCCGTCAAGGTGTACCCTCCTCACTCCTGTTCCATGTTCGGTCCTGTCAGAGTAATGAAGGAGCTCGCCTTCGATGCTGGAAGCCCCTCTCCTGGGCTTCCAGCATCGATGGTGCCGGTGGGAGGCGCAGTCTTCCTATATTCAGACTTCGTTTCATTTTTTTTCATAACACTTTGGAGGTGGGTTCTCATCCCCATCTTACAGGTGAGGAAGACCGAGGCTTAGCTTGCTTCAGGTGGAATTTAGGGTTGGGTAAGCTCATAACTATGGTGCTCTCCCCTGCTTTGGAGGTACTGGGCAATGGGAAGCTCCTTTAGGTCTTAGTTTCCATGGAGCCTTGTCTGCATTTTGGTCCTGAAGAGAGGGTGCAGCTGCCTTCCTGACAACTCCTGTTTAGATGCTTGCAGGACCTTACCAGAGAGGAAATAGTTGGGCTATTTTTAGATGCCTAAACAACTACAATAACCGCAGTGTCAACTGTAACTGGTAAAATCGCCCCCAGGGAATTTTTTATGAATACATTGAAAGTGCACCTCACAGAATCTGAGAATGCCCCCTCAGTGGTACTTTTCTGTGATCTTGCCTGTTGATCTGAACATTTCATCCGTGCAAGGTTCTGTGTGAGTCTTTATGGTGGATGTAGAGAACAGTAAGGCATGTGGCCTCCCTTCAGGAATCTTTAAGGCAGCTAGGAAAGCAAAACTGTGGAGAACCCAGACTCCTTATAGTAGTGTGTGCCATGGTGCAGAGTGGGAGAAACGTCTGGGAGGCTGATATGGTTCACTCAGGCTGATGCAGGAAAATGGAAACTGAGCTGTCATTTGAAGGCTCTATAAGATTTAGATAAGGGGGTATCTGTGCTATTAAGGAAGGCATTGATGATATTTGGGATTTTAAGTCTGGAACATTTTTTCCAAAATCACTGAAACAGAATCCAACATGTTCAGGAGGTGATGAGCTGTGCAGTTTGGTTGCACAAGTTCCTGGGGACAGAGTAACGGGAGCTCATGCTGGAGGCCCAGAATGTGGAGGCCTGGAGAACCAGGGTCAGGGACTTGTCATTTGAGCTTGGAAGTCACAAAAAAAGTGACAACATTGTAGCATAGTTTTAGAAAAGAAATAGTACATGCACACATACAAACAGGCAGTCTTTGCTTTGCAAGGTATTTCAGAACCATAAAAATGACTGTGCGGACTGAAGCCAGGTAAAGCTATTTTAGTAATCAGTGGAGAAAATTTGGGTTGTTCTGTGACCTTCAAAAATCTTTTTTGAATAATATTTTGTTATTTAAACTCTAACGATTCTTTTATAAATGTATAGGAAAATAAAAAGCAGTAAAACATTTAGCACACTGTAATTTGTTAAAAACGTTAGAGACAGTGAGAATTTAAGTGTTTTATTTATTTGTAAAAAATTTATCAAGAGTAGTTTGAACAGTGTTTTCCTTCTTGTCATATAACTTGTGTTATGAGGAGGAGTATCTTTTTTATACCTTATGAATTGTCGTACATTTTTCTGTTTAGCTGAGTTTCCAATGTTTCATGCTTTCTGCTTTCAGTGTCATGAAATATCTGAGAATTTCCTTAATATGTAGATTTTTGTCAGTATCACTTCCTCTGGGACATCACAATCACTGTTTTATTCTCCTATTGCTGCTATAACAAATTATCACAAACTTTGATGGTTTAAAACAACACAAATTTATTATCTTCCAGTTCTGGAAACCAGAAGTTCAAGTGTATCTCAAAATGGAATAAATCATGGTATCCATGGGGCTGTGTTTTCTCTGAAGTCTCTGAGAGGGATCTGTGTCCTTGCATTTTTGCACTTTTTGGACTGCTTGCCTTTCTTGGCTCATAGCCCAGTTCCATCTTCAAAGCCAACGATGACCTGTGGACTCTTTCTTATATGGTATTGCTCTGAAACTCACTCTGCTGTCTCCGTTTTCATTTGAAAGGACCTTTGTGATTTTTAAAAGGACCCTTGTGATCACATCTGCTTATTCTGAATCATCTTCCTTTCTCAAGGACATCTGATTAGCAACCTCCATTCCATCTGTAACCGTAACTCCCCCCCTAATCAGGGGATTAGGACATGGACATCTTTGGTGAGGGCCAGTATTCCGCCTACTACAACCACTTTCCTCATTCTGTGGATAAGTTTGCCTTCACTGAGTTTCTCTGGCTGCACATCTAGTGTCTCTTCAACGGTAGCAGTGTCAACATTCCTGTGTTTCACTATTTCTCCATAACTCCATTGCATTTGATTCAGATTTCACTTCCAGTATTCTTACTTTTTTTTGTTTCTTTGCTGCACTTTCATCTTAATTGACTGATTCCTCTTTTGATGATCTGTTTCTGTAAAATGTCATGGAGATTTATCACTGGGAGACAAAAAGACAACACAACTACATGCTTTGCTGTCTGTGCATGAATGAAATAGTGCCTAGTGCCCAACTGCCCAGTGACCAGTCCCTGACCAACTTTGAAAGTAGTGCATGATTGGTCACTGGTCATAATGCACATATTTTTTGACATAGTGATGTATATATTGAAGAACTAGCAGCGAAGTTTGTTTATTCAGTTGTTCATTTAATATACTAAGTTGTGGTAACTGAAGTCTGCATGCATGGAAACTGTGGAAATGAGGAGCTGCCCATATATGTATTTTTGTACTGTATCTAAATGTATATTTATATATGCTAACATTTGTGTTCCTTTTTTCAAAATTAAAATGGGGAGATAAACTAGCAACTAATAAAATGTATATCTATGGGAGTGGGGTGGGGGAAGGGGGTAGAGAGGATAAGGAATGGAAGTGAAAGTATAGTTCTTCATCATTTTAGTTTTTGAACAATGTAAATATTTTACATATTTAAGAATTAAATTTAAAAAGGGAAAAAAGAAAACAGAAATAAACAGATCTGTGTATCATAGCCATATAGAGGAAAGAATTATTTCAGCCGGGCTCAGTGGCTCAGCCTGTAATCCCGCACCTTTGGGAGGCCGAGGTGAGTGGATTGCCTGAGCCCGTGGGTTCGAGACCCACCTGGGCAGGCGAGACCTCATCTCTACAATAAATCAAAAAATTAGCCGAGGGTGATAGTGCATGCCTGTAGTTCCAGCTACTTGGAAGGCTGAGGTGGAAGGATCGCCAGAGTCCAACAGGTTGAGGCTGTGGTGGCTGGGAGCAGCTACTGCACTCCAGTCTGGGTGACAGAGTGAGACTCCAACTCAAAAAAAAAAAAAGAATTATTTCAAGTAGCTTTTGAACATAAGACCATTGTCCATTCTTATTGGATATATACGTATTCTAAGGACCAAAAAAATCCACCTTCAGAGATATCTTAAACTATCCCCAGGAGACTTAATAAGCAGTCGATTGATTGTAATGTTAAAATTATTTTATATATAATCTGGAATAAAGCAAACGGGCAGATATTAATATATAAGAGAGAAAGGACAAAAGTACAAAGAGCTTAAGAAACGCTTCAGTAGGGCCAGGTACAGTGACACAAGCTTATAATCCCAGCACTTTGGGAGGTCGAGGTGAGAACATTGCCTGAGCCTAGAGGTTCGAGACCAGCCTGGGCAACTTGTCTCTACAATATATCAAAAAATTAACTGGATGTGGTGGTACATGCCTATAGTTTCAACTGTTTGGAAGGCTGAGATGGAAGGATCACTGGAGCTCAGCAGGCCGATACTGGGATGGCTGTGAGTGTGCCACTGCACTCCAGCCTGGGCGATGGAGTGAGACTTCAATTCAAAAGAAAAGAAAAGCTTCAGTAGTATTAAATTATTAAATTTGAGTCGAAAATAATCATAGTGAGTCATAATGATTTCAAAAATGTTTTTTTCTAGCTCTATCAAAAGAACTAGAAGCAGTGACACTCAAAATTACACTGAGCACATCTAATGACCAGGTTTGGCTTCTAAAGACCCTTCCCTAACATTCCCTCATAGGGCTCCTTGGAGAAATTCTAGGTCTGGGGCAGGAAGAGCACAGGTGGACCTAAAAGCAAGGAAGTGCTCTAAGACCAAAGGGTGGATGGGGCAGGGGTGGAGGGTCACAGGAGCAGGTTAAGGGCTTTCCTTGGGAGAGTTCAAACATTAAAAAAACAAAAAAGAATTCAACCAAGTGTAGCATATTTAATAAGTAAAAATCCACAAGTGTAGAGTGAGACCCAAACAAAAAGAAAGCAAACACAGAATGTCAGCTAACAGAAAAGTAATGATAGAATTATCAAAATTACCATGATGTAAGCCCCAGTGTAAGTCTTAATTCACTCAAGGATCATAAATGGAAGTTAAAGCCACACTTTTATTTAAGTGTAAAGTTTATGTAAAAGGGAGAAAATAATGATATTAAGAGAGGAAAAGGCAATGAAGGCCCAGCCAGCGAATTCCACTTGTTTTCCAGTGTCCTTAGATCACTTACTTCTGCAGGTGGGTTTTTTGAAAATATGTTAGTTAGAACTAAATTTCAGAGTTTCTGGACTTTGTCTTCATTCTAATGGAAAAGGAGTGAACTCTCTTGCTTTTCACCCATGTGGGTTTTTCAGTCTTAGAAACAGTCATTCTGAAAGTGGCTTCCCTTTTCCTTCCAGACAAGGCACCTCTGTCGAAGAGTCTTTTGCTGGTCCCCAGCGCCCTGTCCCTTTTGCTGGCCCTCCTCCTGCCTCACTGCCAGAAGTTCTTTGTGTATGACCTCCAAGCAGTCAAGAACGACTTCCAGGTGAGCTCTGCTTCGTTGACCTCTGGGGGAAAAGAAGGCAGTTTATTCTTTCCAGATTGCCTTTTTCTCCTGCTGTTAGTTTTTCAAAGCCCCTACATTTATAAGATACTATTTATTATTAATGTTCCATTAATAAATAAAATTTCTAGTTGTATTTATTGGTTTTTCGGCAAAGCAAATGGTAATGAAGCAATTGTAGTATTTCCTTATCAGACACTTCTGTTTTCAGTTTCAGTTTTTATTCATGGTGATGCAATTTATAACTTCAGGAGAGTTAAAACAATATTAAATATTTTTTCTGCTCAGTATGTATACTTAGCTTTGCTAAGACACTGTCTCAGTTTGGATATTTTATAGAGGATCTAAGCTCTTTCAACTGTAACAGATTGTGGATTTATGATTATATTTATAGTGGTGGTTAAACCAAGTAGGAAATTTTTCTTGCATTTTTGTTATGCGAATGAGCAGAACTCTGTGACTTCAAAGGTTTCTGGACTGATCTTGTTGAAAATGCTTGTGCTGGTTCTTGTCTGTGAATTGCAGTGTTAGTGTAAATTCTATTGTATGATCAGCTACTCTGTCTCTGCTAAATGCTTGATTAGCTCATCTTAAGCATAATAATCCGTTTCTTGAATACTGACATTTTTTCTTTATAGTGATATAATCAATACCATTGCTCAGATTGGCTTCACTGAGTCCCTATGAAGGCCTTTCAATTACGTATCCATATTTCTACTTTCTGTCAGACTTCAGTATAGCTTCTTTATTATTTCAGTTGCTATGATGCAGTTTTTCTCAATTCTGGCTACTCTGTAGAATCACCTGGAAAAGCTTTAGAAATCTACCTGTATCTATAAGTAAGTATAGATATAGGCCTAGAGACAAATAAATTCAAGACTTCACCCTAGACTAACTGAGTCAAGAGTCTGGTGGTGGGCCCAGGACATTGACATAATTTTAAAAACAATCTCCAGGGGATTCTAGTATATGGCCAGCCTCAAGAGCCACTGCTGTAAGGGAATGTGAGGGCCCTCTGGCCTGTGTTGGTGTCTTCCTAATTTCCGGAGTTAACTTGGTTTGTCTGGTTGAGCCCACTCTGTGGATATCTATGCTTTAAAGGTGGTGACCTGTCTGTCCAGGAATGTAAGTGGTCACTCCTTTCTGTTAGAACCTCCTCAGAGGCTCCCAGTGTGTGTGTTTGTAGGAGCTACTACATGACCAGGAGTTTTAGTTCCGCCTTGGGAAATCTAAACACACACATATGTGAGAACACAGTACTGTAGGATGTTGTGTACAGTACATCCTCAGGAAGTGATAAAGAAAGCAGGGACCAGTAATGGGAAAGTAGCTCTGAAGAGCCCTAGGGATGTGAGTTTTCAGTTGTGTCTGCACAAAGGTATGATTTAATTAGCAATAAAGAGAGATCAGGGCATTTTACTTCAGGAAGAGCTATGAACTTCAGACCCCAAGGGGTATGGTATAGGAAGTATATTTTTGAGGCCAGTGCAAGCTTTGATTAGGTGAGTCCAGGAAGGGAAGTTGATGAAGGGCTTTCTCGTAGGTTCTGAATCTCCACATTTTGGCAGTTAAGGCCATAAGTTCAGTTTTTCTCAGGTTGGAATGCAGGGGCAGTGCGTTGTTGAATACAAGCAAGTGCTTGATCTTTAAGGGACATTCACCTTTATAATAATATACAGTCGTTTATTCTTATTTCACCATCCCAAGTTTTTGTGTCCTGGAGCATATAGTTGCTACACATAAATTATTTATAACTGTAGCTACTAGTTCTGTTTGCCATTAATTGAAGAAGCAAAAACTAAAAACAGAGGTTCTATAAATACAATTTTTTACATTTTAGTAATTGTAAGGTCTTAATTTCCTTAATTCCCAGATTTTCCTAGTGGCTCTCAGGGCTTGGCCCTGAGTAGAGTATTTTCAAATAATAATAAATATGGGGATACAGAACTTGGGCTATCTCTCATGGTTTCTGATTCTGCTGTTCTATGGAGGTGGCAGTTGACATATTTTTAAAGGACTAGATTTCCCTGGATGCTCTCATGTATACAGTCTCCTTTATCATGTTTATGGTGGTATTTACAGCTGAAGTTTCATTGTGACTCTGGTACAAAGTCAGGGAATTTCTGAGAGAGAAAAGAGATTCGGTTGGAGATGCCACCTGTGGGACACCTGTGTGACCATGATGGTCATTGCTAACTGACCATGGTGCCGTTTCTCCTGGAACCCTGCTATACCTCAACATAGGCTTGCAGGCAACCTCCCAGGTCAGGTAGGTTGGCAGGTGAAATAGCTCTGGTGGCCATCCCTGAAGACTAGTGGCCCTCATTGTTTTCGAGTATACTCATGATAAAGACTGCTTGGTGTCTTGCTTGGAGTAGAGACAAATGTGCATTGTTTTGACAGTTGGTACAGTCAATGTTTTCATTTGCATTCTTTTTATTTCTATTGGCAAGAGCACAGGTTGTATGACTTTAGACAACAAAATACTTCTCTGCACCTCTTTTCTCTGATCTTAAGATAGGGTTAATATTACCAGTGTTTCCCGCAGAATTATTCACAATAGTCAAAAGGTAGAAACCCAAATGTCTCTGAACAGATAAATGGATAAACAAAATGTGGTCTATACATACCATGGAATGTTATTCAACCATAAAAGAGAGTGAGATTGATACATACAACCTTGAAAACACTAGGTAAAATGAAATAAGCCATACTCAAAAGGGTAATTTTTTTTAAATTTTTTTAATCAGAGTCTTTCTCTGTTGCCCAGACTGGAAGGTAGTGGCATATTCACAGCCACAGCAGCCTTGACCTGCTGGACTCAGGCAATCCTTCTGCCTCAGCCTTCCAGGTAGCTGGAACTACAGGTTACCAGGTGTGCCACCATGCCTGCCTAATTTTTTGATTTATTATAGAGATGAGATCTCAACAAGTTGCCCAGGCCTGGTCTTGAACTCTGGGCTTAGGTGATCCTCTTGCCTCCGCCTCCCAAAGTGCTGGGATTACAGTCAAGGGCCATTGTGTCTGGCTAAAAAAAGGATAAGTATTGTATAATTCCACTTATATAATATATTAGGTATAAGCAAATTTATGGAGGCATAAAGTAGAATAATAGTATTTACCAGGGACTAAGAGAAAGAGCTAATAGGGAGATAGTGTTTAACAGGTACAGAGTTTCTGCCTAGGATGATGGAAATGAATAGTGTTGGTGATAGTACAACATTGTGAGTATTCTTTTTTTTTTTTTTTTTTTGAGTTGTAACCTCACTCCGTCATCCAAGCTAGAGTACGGTGGCACACTCTCGGCCACCCCCACATCAACCTGCTAGGCTCTGGCGATCCTTCTGCCTCAACCTTCCAAGTAGCTGGAGCTACAGTCACACACTACCACTCCTGGCTACTTTTTTGATTTATTGTAGAGATGAGGTCTTGCCAAGTTGCCCAGGACGTTCTCGAACTTGTGAGCTCAGGCAATCCGCTCACCTGAACTTCCCAAAGTGCTGAGATTACAGGCTTGAGCCACCGTGCCCGGCCATGAGTATTCTTAATATCACTGAATTGTACACTTAATAGTTAAAATAATAAATTTTATCTTGTGTTTATTTTACCACAATAAAAACACACAAAAAAGATAGAATTAATATTTGTTTACCCTATCTCATAAGGTAATTGTGAAGGGGAACACGATAAGAATGTTTTGCAAATGTTATTGGGATTACCTTTAAAAATCTGAAAAATGTTTAAGAAGACCCAAATAGGCCTCTGAGTAGCTCTTTTCTCTTTTTTTGATTATGTGTTTTCCCAGTCAGAAATTGGGTGAAATAATGATTTAAATAAACTAAAATTTCAAACCTAGTCATATTCAAGCAGCAGTTAAAATAAATTACCTTTTACATACTTGCTTTGAAGCAGGTTGACCATTTAAAATTAAGCTCAGAAATGTATATTTTTAGGTTTACACCTAAATTGTTTTTCTGTTACAACTTTAAAAAAATATTTTCATTGTTTTTGAGTTGGAGTCTCACTCTGTTGCCCAGGCTGGAGTGCAGTGACAAGCTCACGGCCACCCCAGCGTTGACCCACTGGGCTCAGGCAATCCTTCCGCCTCAGCCTTCCAAGTAGCTGGAACTACAGGCGTGTGCTACCACGTCCAGCTAATTTTTTTGATTTATTATAGAGATGAGGTCTCACCAGTTTGCCCAGACTGGTCTTGAACCTGTGGACTCAGGTAATCCCCTTACCTTGACCTCCCAAAGTGCTGGGGTTACAGGCTTGAGCCACCGCACCTGGCCCCAGTTACAACTTTTATTCAGTAGCATAAAAATGAACATTTGTTAACCTTTGATTCCAGTTTACATATGTAATTTTTAAATCTTACTAAACACAGTCCTAACATGTTTTTTATGGGCAGTTTTCTGTTATCTCAACATTTGTTAACCTTTTTTTCCAGTTTACATATGTAATTTTTAAATCTTACTAAACACAGTCCTAATATGTTTTTTATGGGCAGTTTTCTGTAATCTTATCTTGAGTTTTTTTATAATAAGCAAAAAAATTTCAAGTATTCTTTGTGCTATTGTTGAAAGGAATTTTTAGTATGAGATAGTTGAGCTCATTTCTTAGAGAAAGCACATATTGAGTTTTCCTTTTGTGTATGCATTATGATTTTGCTTAAATTAGAGTATATAAAAAGGCAGTGTAAAGTCAACATATATTTGCTAAGGAAGAGACCAGAACAAATCTTACTCTTATTTTTTGTGCTTTTTAAAATCTCCATCTAGGTTTGGAGGTTGATATGTGGAAGAATAATTTGCCTTGATGTGAAAGATACTTTCTGCAGCAGTCTGCTTATTTATAATTTTAGGATATTTGAAAGAAGATATGGAAGCAGAAAATTTGCAGTAAGTTTTTATGTATTTTGCCTTTACTAAGGTTATAGAAAAAATTTTGTTAAATAGGTTTTATTCTGTTAAACTTGGTGTTATTATTTATGATTATCTTTTTAATTACATGATCCTGTATCTGATTTGAGGCATGGACATTAAGCAAATCATATTTTACAATTTAAGACACTAGCATAATAATAGTGATAATGATAATAGTATTGGGTATGAAGAGGTCATAAAAATTTTAATTAGGACTTTGACTTTAATAAAATTATAATCACTTGTTTTGCTTACTGGTTTTTATCATTTATTCATCATACTTAGAAATAATGGAAATTAACACATTTGAACCACATGGTTTTACTTCTCAATTTAGAAAAGCCTGTTTTAATAAAAACAAACAGCTTCTCAAATATATGCGCGCGCACGCACGCGCACACACACACGCCTGGTTCTAACTGAATTAATATTAGTTTATTTTTAGGAGACTCTTCTCTATTATTTCTTTTTTAATTTTTCAGTCCTTTTTGCTGGGCTCCTGGGTTTTGTCAGCCTTGTTTGACTTGGTCCTCGTTGAAGCTGTGCAGTACTCATTTGGTGTCACTGCAGCCAGTAATTTGCCTTCTGGATTGTAAGTAGCTCTTAAAAATGGACTTAACTTAGAACCACTTAAATCTAATTTAATGTGTTATTTATATATGAAAATCAGTAAAAGAATAATTTAAACTTTTAAATAGAGTAAAATTGATTTTATATGTAAAAAAATTTGCTGTATGCCTGCATTTTCATTATGTTCTTGAAACAGAATCAGTTTTACATTAATTTTTTTCTTTTAGCTTTGAAATTCCATGTTTTAGAGAATTTAAAGTGAATTTCCTAATCTGGTCCTGAAGATAGAATTCATTTGTATGTTTTATATTGAAATTTGTCTTTCTAATTTTATGAACTAATTAAATACAAAAGTACAAAATTTAATTAGATTAGGAAACAAAATGAATTTGTCTGAAGTTAAGCTTCTGAAGAGTGATTTTTTTTTTTTTTTAGCTAATATGTTGATCTACTTTCACCAAACATAAAACAAAGTCAGTGTATAGGTGATAATTGTAGACAATCTAAAATGGCCAACCTCACTCAGCCTCACAAATGCTTTCATATTGTGTTGCTTTTCTTAAAAAAAAAAAAAAGCTGTGTTTGTATATGAAATAGCTAGTAATAGGAGCAGAGATGTTAGCACATATGAATGACCTCAAAGCATCTCTGAATTAAGTATGTGAGATTATATTTGGGAGATGAGATAGTATGAAATAAGATACTGGATATTTAGAAATCTGTGCATACTAACTTCAGTCTTGTTTGAATTTTGAATATGTGTTTTTGAGCACTGTTAGGCTATTGCATGTATCTTGATTCAAATTCACTTTGGATACCTGTTTTAAAAATATAATTAGTGTTCTAATAGCTTTTATACTTTCATTATTAATATTTACAATATAGCTACTCTTTGTGGAATTTACTGAATTATAGTTGGTATGAATATCCATGAATGTTGACCTTCAGCTGTTGTAATATTTGAATGGAGATAGATAAAGTTCTGTGTCATAATTATTGTGCAGTTTTGGTTGCATTCCACGGGTGGTAATTGTAATTAGACTGAGAAGTTTAAGTTGACTATTCTGCTATTGTGGAAAATTCTGTAGTTGTTAGGACTGATTCCATGTTGATTCAGAAAAGGAGCAGCATTGCTAAATTATCAGGTTTCCCTGAGACATTCCTCATCAGGTTAGTTCTTCTTGGTTCTCTGTAAGACCTGCTTAGTTATGGAACGTATATGTGTCATGTATGTTTTAGAATAAATTTTGGGAATAGATAGTAATATAACTTTAATTCTTATTTACACTGTCTCCTTGTCTGATGACATTTCTTTTTCCTGTTGCACATAGAGTTGAATGACAGTAGAATCTTTATATTCATTTATTTCATTATGGAATCCTATTCAGTAGTACATAAAAAGATTTAATATTGAAGTTGGTGGGAACATTTATTTACTCTTAAGAGAGGAAAGGCATTTTCTTGTTTAAATCTCAGTTTGTAGCAAGAGTTACAAACCTCAATAAATTAAAAAGTTACAGTATCCCCTTGGAATGACAATATAAAGATTATTAATTCAGGCATCTCCTGAATGACAATATATCTCTCATCCTTTTCAGATTACAAAACATTATGATATGTAGTGTGACTTGGTAACATCTTGACACTTTCCCAAGCATAGACTTCTTGGAACATAAATTGTTACTTCAACAAGTAAACCTCATTTTGTAAACATATCTTTTATTGATAGTAGCAAAGCATCAAAAACTCAAGAAGAGGAAACTGTTCTCTCTTTTCATCAGTGTGCTTTACAGCTTTAAGTGTTTTTCACGTAACATGTTATCTTTTTCTTTCCCATCAGTGCCAGATTTATCTGCACTCTCTATAGTTCTTCACTTACTCTCTTTCTCTTTTTTTAACCTCACCGCTGAAACCTCTCTTACAGAGGTCACCAGTAACCACCTGATTTCTAAAGCCACTAGTCCTCCTAGTTAATCTTTCAGTGACACATGAAATGCTTTCAACCTCCCTTTGTTTCATGCTTTCCTGAGACACAGCATACTACTCTGTCCTGGTCCTCTTGACCTTATTATGTGCAGCTCTTTTCTCAAGCTTATTCCCAGTGTTTTTTGGGGGCGATCTTGTCCACCCTCATGACTTCTGCTACAGTGAACATCTGGTGTTTGTCTCCTAGCCCTCCATTTCCAATCCATAGTACTCTCCTCTTTCTAAAGTCTTATTTCCTAATGATTTCTAGACTCAAAGAAACAACCCTTGTTCAGAAGCCTTCATCTCTTCTGGTCTCCTGTCTCCCTACCCTCTTCCTTTCCTCCCTCTTAGTTTAATTAATAGCATTTCAATCTACTCAGTCATCCAAACTGGAAATCGTTCCTTTTTCTCATCAATGGGTTAGGGTACTGAGCCTTATTAATTCGAAGTCCTAAACTCATTCAATCATCCCTCTTCTCTGTGTCTACTGTCATTATCACACCAGTCTAAACTCCGATCTTCTCTTGCCTAGTTTTTTACAGTAATTCTCTAACTGGTCTCCCGATCAGTTTCAAAGCATGGCATACAATGCTTTCAGAAGGTATCTTTCTCAAATACAGGCTTGACCGTACCAGTTCTCCTTTTAAAAACCTTTACATTCTCACTTCCATCAGAATAAAGATCAGAGTCCTCCAAGGTATCATCAAGGCAGCCTGGAATAGTGGGAATGGCATGGCCTTTGCACCAGACAAACCAGATTTGAGCTTCCACTTCTGCCACTTACTAATTATGTGAAATATTGAACAGGCTACTTTTCTCAAGTTTCACTTCCTGAGCTCAAATTGTAGATGACCCTTAGATACCAGTGTGGGTACTACTCTACAGTGGAGAGAATTAAATAAGCTCACTTAAGCTAAGCTCCTACCAGGAGGCATACAACTCCTCCATGTAATGACTTTTTTCTTTCTCTTCATTTATTTATTTAAAAAAAATTTTTTTAAGACAGAAGGTCTCACTATGTTGCCCAGGTTGACCTCAAATTCCTGGGCTTGAGTGATTCTCCCTCCTCAGCCTCCTGAATAGCTGGGATCACAGATGTGCACCTCTGTTTCCAGCTCTTTTTTCAAAACCCTCCTTGACCACCATCTAGCCTCTCAAGCCACTCGCCCATTGGCTTTCTGATCATTTGTATTCTCATACCTCCTTGACTTTCTATCTGCTTCCTCATGCCCTTTGGCAGGATTAATTGCCCTTTATGTGTATTACAACAAATTTACTAATATCCCTATTCATATTTACTACATTGCATTGTCATCTTTGTCTGTGCCTTCTGTGCCACCTGCTAGCTCTTTGAGGGAGAAACAGGCTTTACTTTGTACTCATTGCTTTACATTCAGTATTGCTGAAGGGCTAACCTTGACTACCGTGTAGCTCCAGTCAGACTGTACGGGAAGCTCGTGGAACCATAAACCCGTTCATCTTTTTTTCTAGCGTTTTGCATAGATATTATATTTGACATAGGATGGATCTTATGACTGTTCTTTAAGTTCAGAAAATATAACCATTAAGTTTTAAAAGTAAAGATAGCTCAATTATTAAAAGCCATATATATAGGCACTTCTGGTGACTCAGGCCTGTCACATATCTGTCCTTCTGTATTATTTATTTATGTACATATTTAATGGTTAGTATTTACTTGTGGTTATTTTCCAGAATACAAGTGGAATTTTGAATTTTTGCATATCATGTTAAAATATATTTTATTATAATGCTAGTACATTTTAATCTATTTTTTGTTTATTTATTTTTGAGTTGGAGTCTCACTCCGTCACCCAGGCTGGAGTGCAGTACCACACTCACAGTCACCCCAGCATCGACCTGCTGGGCTCCATCGATCCTTCTGCCTCAGCCTTCTAAGTAGCCAGAACTACAGGCGTGTGCTACTATGCCCTGCTAATTTTTTTAAAAAAATCTATTGTAGAGACAATATCTCGTCAAGTAGCCTGGGCTGGTCTTGAGCCCGCGGACTCATGCAATCCATTCGCCTCGGCCTCCCAAAGTGCTGGGATTATAGGCTGAGCCACCAAGCCTGGCCACTAATACATTTTAAAATTAACTTTTAAATTATCTACAATTAAATTGTAATGTAGATTATCTACAATTTTGTTGTGAGAACCATGATACCTTCATTTTATTGATTTTGCGTCAACAAAGTATTTTGTGTCAGCAAGGTCTTTTGTGCTTTGTACTCTTAGACTAAACTCTTATCAAGGCAAGCTATTGCAGATAGCTTGCCATCTAAGAAATGTAAGAGTCAAGCATCTGTGTGGTTAAGAGTAGGCTTTGCCTGTGTTTATGTGTCCTATAAACCTGCATCTCAAATATAGCAGTCATTTCTCATTTTAGAAATAATTATTTGTTGAAGATATTGAAGTATTTTACTCACTTGACTATTCAAGTAAAACTTTGTTTTTCTCTTTATGAGAAGCTGCATCTCAGTACCACCTTGGCTCTTTACCTTAATGAGCTCTGAGAATGTTTACATTCTGTAAGCATGTTTGCTTTTTATTATGGAAAAATTGGTTTTTTTGAATAATTTCAAGGAGAACTGAACCTGATTTCTAATTCTGGCTCTTTGACTGAGCAAGTCACATAGCCTCTTTGGACCTCAGTTTTTTTGTATTTCAAAAATAAGAACTGGACTAGAAGATTATCTTAAGGGATCTTCTAGTGCAAAAATGCCATTTTTTGGAGGAGACTCCTTTGTGGTTTTTCTTTTCTTTTTAGGAATATGAATTTACCCATGCTAATTCTAGATACCAGTTTATAACCAATGTATGTGTTTGGTTCTGAGTCCAGTAGATGATCATGTTGAATGATAAAGGTGTTTTAGGAGAGAGGTAGTTTTAGTTGAATCATTTATATATATGCTTCCATAGTATTAATAGAAGAGTTATAGATTACAGTTAAATTTCTTTTCTTTTAGATGGAGAAGTCACTTAGTTTGTTACTTTATTAGAAGAAAATAAATGGCAAGGCTAGGAATAGGATTTAAGGTCCCTGACCAGTACTATTTATATTGCATATGTCTTGGGGGGAAAATGATTAACCTGTCTTGTAAAAATGGGGTATTTAATCATACAAGAAGAGCAGCCTATTAGTATTGGAGAATGATATTTCACCATGGAGTAGAAACCTCATGTGATAGGAATGAACTTGGATTATTGGGTAGAAATAGAATCTCAGGTTAGGGTTCCATCATTAGTCATAAGTAGGGTAGGTAGGGTTTGGTGCATAGTAGGCTCTCAGTGTCTGCTGAATGACTAATCTGTTTTCAAAGCCATGTAGTCAGAAGGGGAGGACTCATGGGGATGCCCTTTACAGATCCCCCCCTGTGTTCTTGCTCCTACTAATTTTGCTTTTAAATTATCAGCCAGAAACAGTAATGAGTTCAACATAGTTTCTTTTGTAGGAATCCCAGAAGTTTGGTGTTTAGAACATAAAATATGGAACCCAAATGTAAACTAGACCTAAAGGAGCTGCATCTAGATAGAAATCAGATTATTTTTAACAGTAGCTGGATTTTCTTTCCTTCCTGACTTCATGAACATACATGAGTCACTTGCACATAGAATTAAATCCAAAAAGTTAAATAATTATCTGTGTAGATAAGTCTTGACCCTGAAACACAAATTAAGTGTTTTTCTCCTAATAAGTCACGGACATGTTTTATATAAGTTTTAAAAATGAAGATAATGAATTTATTAGGATACTCAGATATTGAATTATGTTACCACAGAAAGATCCCACAAAATAATTTTTAAAGTTTTTTTTTAAAGGAGAAAAGGGACTTGATAATATTATACAGAATATACATTGACCCTAGAGTGGTTGGTAAGGTAAATTTTAAAGAGATTGAAGGAAAAAAAGCTTTCTGTTGTTCATAACATTTCACTGTTTATGTTGCTTAGTGACCGTGAACTACCAGATCGGAAACTTTTTCTGCGCACACTCCGAAGGTAATTCCGGTATAGCATGACACTGATGACCCGAGCCTGAAATTGTTTTGAAACAATGTAGTAGAGAATCACATCCAGGCACGTGCTGAGGTTCATGAGGAAGGTGGTAAAGGCTCCCCAGGGATTATAGCTATTCTCTTCCCCTGACAGCATCAGGAAAGCAAAGCAGATGTGGAAAGGCACAAAGCAGACGAGCACCTGCACCAGGAGCGTGATGATGATTCTTATGGACTTCTCCTTGACTTTTGGTTTCAGCTTAGATGTCCTCCCGTGAAGGAGATTATGAATAATGACCAAGTAGCACCCAATCATGATAAACAAAGGAATCAAGAAAAAAAATACCAGTCGAGTGAAGTTCAACACATTAACAGCTTTTAGGTGGATGATGTCAGAAATCTTGAGGCAGGTGGCGGGCATGGAGGCTTTATCTGGGTCTTCATAAAGCAGTAGCAGAGGGATGGTGATTGTCAGGGTCATTATCCAGATTCCCACACATGCCAGCACGGCTTTGCATGTGTTTTTAAGTTCTTTGGCATACTTCGGCTGTACGATGGCCATGTATCTGTCAGCACTAATAAAAGCAAGAAACCATAGAGCAATACTTGGGTAAAACACTGTGAGAGTTCCAAGAATGTGACAAAAGTACTCTCCAAATGGCCATTCACCTTTTGCATAATAAAACATTCGAAAGGGTAGGCTCATTACGAACATTAAGTCCAGTAATGCCACATTCATCATGTAGACCGTTACAGTGGTTCTCTTCTTGGTGGTACAACTGAAAACCCATAACGCAGTGACATTAACAAATAATCCAATTATGAAGATACAGCCATAGAAGACAAGAGCCGCAATTTTGTACTCGCTTGGATATGAGTTGTTAGAAAGGACGGGTTGATCTTGATTGTTCAGGGTGGTCATCTTATAGCTTGTTGGTAGGCATGATACTTAGAAACTGTAAAAATGTGGAAAGAAAAATAGAAACAAAACCCTCGGTTTAAAAACAACGACTTAGCATTTTCATACTGAGCTGGGCTGTCAGTAAATTTTAATTTTGAGAGCATTTTATGTTGTAGACTCTATATATATGTCTTGGTATTTATGGAATACATTCCCTAGAGATTATTACTAACTTGTGCTAATCTATTAAAATGGTTCTCGTGTCATAATGTGCTGGCAACTTTGTTTATCTCTCTCTCCCTGCTCACCTCCCTTCTTCCCACAAGAATAACCATTCTTTACGATTTCTTTCTACAGTGTGAAATTGGGTAGCAGTAGTTCCTATCATAAAAAATCCTTTGTTTTGGACTAATTGGTGAAGGGCCATTTTGAATTTTGAGTCTTATAAAATTACTTTCTTCTTTTTATCATCTTCTTTCTGTTTAAATATTTTGCAACCCAGATTTGTAATGTCCAGTAATGTATTTTTGCTCAATAAATTTAATTTAAATGTACAAAATATAATAAATGGAAATATGTGTAGAAAACTCATAAAGTAGCTAACTAAAGCTGGTTAACTTCTGAACATTCACAGTAATTCTCATTTGAGAGTGAGTGGAAACTTTTCCTATTTTACAGCTATAGGTTCTCAATAAATAAATATTTACTAAATTGTTGGATAAGTAAAGGAAGGAACCTTTGGTGAGATGACCCATAGCAACTATTCTCTAGTTTATCAATGAAGACTTGTGTAGTTGGCCTTAAACTATTTTTTTTTAAGTGGCAAACACTTCTTCATAGTATTATCTCATGTTCTCTTTAAATTAAATTAAATTCATAGGTCTAGAAACAGCAGTGTTCTGTGTCATGGTTGGAGGTTGAGAACTGGACTCTTAGAACAGTAGGTGATCTTTTTTTAATGCACAGCTGGAAGTGCCTAATACCAGGTCTTCCAGATGTTGTTTACCAGTGTCCAAAAAGCTGATTTCAGCTTTTCTGCTGCAGTAGTACACAGCCAGCAGCACCTTGAAAATAAGCTGCTACTGGCATAAGAACTTTGATATCCTCGTTCTATCTAGATTCAGAAACTTAGATATTATTTAAATTAAAGAAGGAATGTCTAAGACAAGTAGATATCTAACTTATTCAGTAGCTTGATATGTATGTAGAAACTAATATATTCCCATCACTAAAAAATGTCTGTTCATTTCAAATGGAAAGGTGTTTAGTTGCGATTGTAAATATCCTTACATAGATACATCAGCCCCTCAGTGTGAGACTTCCCTTGCCCATGATGCAACACCAACAGCAGGACTTTAAAAATAGACTTGTTACAATGAGATGGAACCTTGTGGCATCCCCTTGGGGTGAATGGAGGTAAATGAAGTTTCCTTCAACAGTGTCACTTTGCTGAGTGGGCTGTCTCGGATTCAGCCCTGAATCTCTCTTTAGTGAGAACTGTGGGGGATGTGCAGGCTGTGGTCAGTGGCATCATGGGCTGTCGATCTTTAGCAATGAACTTGAGTAGTTGCCGTGGACAAGCAGGAGTCACGAGTTTGTTTGCCTCTCTTCCTGATGAAATTGGCTTTGCAAATATTTAGGTTGAATGTGATTTTGAGGCAGAATTCTATATATTTAGAAACCTATATTAAATTTTCCAAATGTTGGCATGTCTAGAATATTAATTTCTATCAAATGAGAAAAGTACTGCATAGAAAAATTACATCTTCAGTGTCATACAAAGAATAATTTTGGAGGCTTAAATCTTATTTTTAACACTGCATGAATTTTTAAATAGTAACAATTGTGATGTAAATAAAATTTTGTGTTTGTTTTTCCCCTTTAACATTATATCAGGATTCACATCACCCATTCTCATACTCTAATTTTGTCATTTAAGTTCCATACTTACAAACCATCTTGAGTAAATGTTTTTTCCCACCTTGGGCTCAACTTTTTAAAGTAGCTTATTTGCCACCAATACATATACTCATTTGCTCAAGTTTGAAAAAAATATGAGTGATGTGTGCATTTGAAAGGCATTACAGTATATAGGTTGTGCTTTGCAAACAGTTACATTTTTGGATAAATATTGAAAAATGATGGTCTTGCAGGTCAGCTTTTGAAAAACTTTAGATTCCATCATCATCTGTAGCTTTTCTTTTCTTAAAAATCATTAAAAGTACATTTCATGAAACAATGTAATTGAAACCATGTGATGACTCCTAGATACACCTAACAGTTTGTCATAAATGTTTTCCTTAAGTTGAAAACAATTACATGTACTATTAATATAAAACAATACTAAAAATAAATGTAATATTATATTAATAATGTAGAAAGCGGATTACATAATCTGTTTCAAAGTCCTTCATCAACATAGTTTCAGTAATGCATTATTAGAATAAAATGATTTTTAAAGTTAGTACATGAAGCATTACTTTTGATAATAATCATGAAGTTAATGAAATGGTGCTTACCTTCTGTCCATCAAAAGACTGTTTTAGAGATGAACATTTTTCAGTACACCCAGCCTGTCGGAGTGGTCTTTGAGTTGCTTGTGTTAAAATTGCTCTTTCCGAAAACAGTGTATTTAGGAAATGCTATATTTCTTTTGTTAAGGCTACTTCGTTGCTTTAAAAAGTTGTTTCAAATGCAGCATGTGGTATAGGAGTTGGTGCTCGTCTGGTGTGACTGCTGCATTACCTCTTGCAGGAAGTGCTGTCTGCACTAGGTTTTTCACTCTGTGACTCTACCCTGGATGTGGTTTTTCTCTCTCACAAATGATTTGCTTATGAAATCATGCATAGCATGGGCTCCCATGAAATGATGGCATATATTTTAGAGAATTATATAAGAAGGATACAAATTATTTACTTTGATTGTACTGTATTTCTTACAGTCTGCATCATTTATGGAAAGAGAAGGAAGTTTGAGATGGAGTAGGATGGAGTTTAATGTCTAACTTCTTTGCTTTCTAAGAGGTGTAACTTTGCCTAGTTACTTAAGCACTCTGACTGAACTTTTGTTCCTACTTAGCTTCTGTACAGTTAAAATAGAGTTAATACCATCTGATAGGATTGTGATGACCCCAAACCAGAAAAGTCCCAAGTGCTTAACCTAGTACCTGTAACTTAGTAGATATTCCTAAACAGAGTCTAATGTTTTACTACCAACCTCCAAATATCACAGAATGTCCACTTTTTACTATTTAGGTATTTTTAAGAGTTTAAAATTGGAATTCTGGATTATTTGCTTTTGCTGTGCCATTTATATTTACCCACTTTGGTTTGCTTTATTTTGTATGTCCCCTTTTCTAATATGTGGAAGTCTAGAAATATATATATATATAATATATATATATATAATTTTTTTTGCATAAAGATTCTGCAAAATTTAGCAGAAAGGCCTCTGAAGTCTTTAGTAGACTAATTTACATATTAGGAGTGTTTTAACCTAATTAGGGAAATGAAACCAAAAGAAAGGGAAGTGAGCAAACCACACCATTGCCTAATTAATTTTTTTGCTTTCTCTTTTCTTTAAAGAATAATAATCTCATTTGCTTGTGCTAAAATTTTAATTATATTTGGTTATGCATGTTTATCAACTATTAAAAGTTGAACTTAACTATATGTGTTTTTTTAATTTAAGGCAGTTTAAGGGTCTTTTTCTTTTTTCCTAAAAAAAAAAAACTATAGTAAGTCTGACTTATAAGAGTTATTTATATCCTTGCTTTTGGCGATAAAATACTTTTGCTTGTGATAACCTGCTGGAATGTGGATTTTAGGAGCACTGGAGACAACCACAGCACCTCTTTCTTTATAGGGGAAGAAATTGAGGGCCAACCGGGCTCGGTGGCTCAGCCTGTAATCCCGCGCCTTTGGGAGGCTGAGGTGAGTGGATTGCCTGAGCCTGCAGGTTTGAGACCCGCCTGAGCAGGCGAGACTTCGTCTCTACAATAAATCAAAAAATCAGCCGGGCGTGGTAGCGCATGCCTGTAATTCCAGCTACTCAGAAGGCTGAGGCGGAAGGATTGCCGGAGCCCAGCAGGTCGAGGCTGTGGTGGCCAGGAGCGGCCACGGCACTCCAGTCTGGGCGACGGAGTGAGACTCCAACTCAAAAAAAAAAAAAAGAAATTGAGGGCCAGTGGCTTGCCCAGGACTTAGGGCGAAGCCAGCCTCAGCTTCTTCAGGTGGTCTATGTACTCCTTGTCCCTAGCTACTGGAATAACTCCTTATGAGGTGATTACATTGATTTATTAACTAGGTATGACTTCTTACTGCTGAACTACATTCATTAATTTTTTTATATGTGAGGTTAAGTGTCTTACATCACACAAGAGTTAGATATTTCAGCAAATAGAAACCTCATTGTCTGCGGACTTGATCTGTCCTTTGCTTGTGACAAGTTTTCAAAAATTAAGTATTGGTTAGCTTCCTCTGAGCTGTTAAAATCAACAGATACAGCAATGGTGTGTATCTCGAAGAGTCCTCTTGTAAAGGACTTGGGTCCTTTACCCTATGCAGGGGTATTCTTACTTTGGACTTGCTGGCTGGTCTCTCGGAGAGGTGTGCAGAGACACATTAAGGCCCCCCCAGGCCTGGCTTCAGGCGAAGGTCAACTCTCACTCTTTCCCATCTTGTTCCCCATATCAGCCTCTGGATCTGTCTACATTTGCCCTTCCTGCCTCCCACATGCTGTTCCACCCCCTGGAACATTCTTTACGGCCGCACCCCTACCTTGTGGCCTGGCTAACTGCTCTTCATCCTTGAAACCACCTTTTCTGGGAAGTGTTCTCTGCCCTCCTGGCCGTTCAGCCCTGTCAGTTTCCTTCTTCCTTGGCGCCTCCCCCTGTGGTGGCACAGGTTGCATTGTCCTTGTGTGTTCATTTGCCTTTCATCCTCCACCAAATCGCATTCCTTGAGAGTTGATGTGTGTTGCATGTGTGCGTATAAGAGTCATTTGAGAGTGGTCAAGTGTGGGACCCAACAAGTAGGTGAAGAAACGGAGGAGTCGGGGAGGAATGAGCAAATTACTGAGTCCAGAATCCGCAGCAGGAACACTGAGCAGTTTATGAGATGCAGAGATCTAGGCAAGGCCCTACCTGGGGTGGTAGCCCTGTCCTCCCGCCCCGTGTCCCCTGCGGCATTGACCACCATTCTATGGTTTCTGGCTCTCCACAATGATTTTGCATGGGAAGGGATTGAGAGTAAAATTGCCCCAGACCACTTGACAACAAGTAAAACAGTGGGCAAGGCATTGAATAGCGTCTGCTTGACTTCTTTCATACTTGATCCTAATAAATTGCTTTCTTCAAACAGAGGAACTTTCCTCACTTGGAGACCGTTCATGCAATCTTAATTTCCTCACTTTTTTTGGAATATGAATTGAAGAGAAATTTTTCTCCTTGCAAAAGAGGGATTTCATATATTCCCAGAGATTGCAGAGTTCACTTAGCTTTATGAAATAATGTTCTAGCTCCAGGTTTGAGTTTAGGTGTTAAGAGGTGTTCTCTGCCCTCCTGGCTGTTCAGTGAATTTTGATTTTAGCACTAGAATCCATTTTTTGAGTGAATAATATAATTCTGTTGAGCCAATTTTTAATTCTTAAAAAGGATATGGTTAATAGATTGATAGGGCAGATCCCCATTGTAGAATATGCCTCGATATTAGAAATTTGTGCCACAAATTAAATAATATTCCCTGTTCTTAACACAGTTGTCTTTATCACAGCAAGTGTGAGGGCAGCTTATCCTTGTTGCCTCCCACGAGTGCAGTAACTGAGGGTCAATGTAGTCCCTGTGCACACATCCCATTTTGGGGGCAGGCAGCACCAGCCAGGTCTGGGGGAGAAGGAGTGTGAGGCAGAGCGCTCTGAACTGAAGGGAGCATCTTATCATTTGGCCCTCACATTCTCCAACTTTGATAATATGCTGTCTTCATCCTCTCCTTTCTATTTCTCAAACTTGTATCTAAATGGACTGCTCTTTTTTTGGGTATGGGCGTGGGGAGATATGTTGAATAGTAGGGGTTTCTGGATAAAGAAAATTGATAAACTATCAGAGTGTGTGTGTGTGTGTGTGTGTGTGTGTGTGTGTGTGTGTGTGTGTGTGTGTTTTAAAGTTCCAACAATTTGCAGCTATGATCTTCTAGTAAAGTCAATAAACCTCCTTTCTTTTGGTATTCTAAATTGTATTGTAAATTTAGCATTCCCAAAGTTTTTTTTTTTAGCAATTTTCGTGCAGTTTAAAAGTAGACATTCTGGCAATTATTTACCTCACAGCAAACAAGTTTAACTCAGGTGTAACTCTATACAGTTGATAGATAATGCTAGTTAAAATCCACAAAGATATTAAAGATTCAGTCACTAAGAGGATCTTCACAAAAGACGACTCCTACATGGCAGTGAAATCAGGCCTGGAGCCACAGAAGTGCCATAGGACCCCAGGCCAAGAGTTTGCAGTGTGATATTCCACCAACTGAACAGAGATCTAGTTAAAGCCACCAGGAAAACTGATGAGTAGAACTCTGTGGTTGTTGTGATGTACACTACTGCACGTTCTGACATCCCGCTTACAGGAGGGCATGTGGAGATGATATACAGAAGTCCCCACTTATCTGAGGTTTTGCTTTCCAAGGTTCCAGTTACTCTTGGCCAACTGAGGTCCAAAAACATTAAGTGGAAAATTCCAGAAATAAACAATTTATAAGCTTATAATTGCATCCCATTCTGAGTAGTGTGTTGAGATCTCACTCCATTCAGCTCCTTCCCATCCAAAATGTGCGTCTTCCCTTTGTGCAGCGTCTCTACAACATGGACACTTCCACTCGTTAGCCCCCTTAGTAGCTTCCTCAGTTATCAGACTGTGGAATATTGCAGTGCTTGCGTTCAGGTGACTCTGAGTTTACTTAATAATGGCCCCAAAGCATGAGAGTACTGTGCCTAGTGTATATATTAGACATCATAGGTATGCGTGTATAGGAAAAGACAATAAATACAGGGTTTGGTACTACTGTCTTTGGTTTTAGGCATTTGCTGGCATCTTGGAATGTATCCCCTGAGGATAAGGGACCACTAGTGTATAGATGTATAGTTAAAAACACCTAGTAATATGAGAAAGTAGCATTTCGGAAGGAGGATTTGTGGAGGTGCAGGATTGGTTATATGTTCATAAAAACTCTTTTTTTTTTTTTTTTTTTTTTAAGATACAGGGTCTCTACGTTGCCCAGGCTGACCTTGAACTCCCAGGCTCAAGTGATTTCCTCCCCCACGCCCCCACCCCCCACGCCTCCTGAGTAGCTAGGACTGTAGGAACACACCATCATGCCTGGCGTATGTTCAAAAAGGCTTTTAAAAGAAAACTGGGACTTTAGAGTTGGCAAAAACTGGGTTTGAATGTGTCTAACTTCTTGTAAGCTGTTTCTATGAGTCATTTTTTTAACCACCTTGAATCTTAGTTCATATCTATGAATTGCCTCTTGTGTAAAGTATATGCTGTAGACACTAAATACTGCTTCACTTGGTCTCTCTCTTGTCTGAAATGTCCTCTTTTCTCTTTGCAGCATATCTGAATGTTTCCCATCTTTAGACTGGAACTGGATAGCTGTGTAAGAGGCCAGCCTGTGCCGCTGATTAATGAACCAAGTTGTCTTAAACAAGTTTGCTCACTTCTCTGCTAGTCACTCTCCCTGGTTTTAAG